AATCTGCTAATTCCAATGGGAATTACTGAGTCTGGGGCAGGGGGAGGAGTCACAAAACTAGTCTGAGAGAAACAACTTTTACCTTGATGATGCCAATTAATTGGTTCCCCGTTTGGTCAAGTTTTAAAAGCTGTTTCTTGAGGTTTCCCTGGCTCTGCTCGTTCCCCTACATGTCTTGGGCATTGGTTTGATACGGGAGTTTGTGCCTCCGAGAGTGATTTCTGAGAGTTTACATGTCCAAAGAAACTCTGAATTACTGTCAGGCTTTTCTTGAATCCTTCTCTGCCTGGTGACCAGCAGAGCTCTTGCCTGCAAGAGGCCAGTGGGAGGAGGGTGGCAGCAGGGGGTGACACTAACAAGAAGTGGACAGTGCAATTCTCGGGCTGACAGATTGGGTTTTGGCAAGGGGTATGAAGCCCCAGCCCACTGTGGCTGTCCCCAGCCCCACTGTGGCTGTCCCCAGCCCCAGGGTGCTCTTTCAGTTGGTGTTTGTTTGCAGGGGCTGTTTACAGGGCAGCCTGGATCTCCACCAGAGATGCAGGGAAGGAGGGTGTAGGTGGCATGCAGGCACTTTTCTGATGTATTAGAAGATTTCCTAAGCTGGGGTTGTGCTGTTGGGGGAAGCACCCCAGGTGGGATTGAGAGTAGAATTTTGTCATACCTTTGCTTAAGCCTTATTCCCTGGGCTCCCCTAAGGCACTGGTCTGGGCAGAAAGCTGACACCAGACAGCTCCCAGGGCTGTGTTGTCACGGGGCAAGTGCCAGTAAGGAATATTGGGAAGGGAGAGAGGAGTGGTGTTGTTCAAATAAGGCATGGTTCTTTTGTGTTGGTGGGTAACATGGCTGACATTTAGGACAGCCAAGAGCAATCCTGGGTGGCAAAACAGACTTTTCTGAACAAGGTCTTTCAGAGGCTGAATGAGGAGGAGAATGGCATGCACCTGTGTGTTCTTGCAGTAACATATTCCTCACCTCGTGCCCCGCACTTGCAGGGAGGATTAGTGAAGGATGAGAAGACTGGATCAGATGGTAGTTCATGGAAATGGAGGCAAGGTATTCAAAGCACTGCTTTAATCTGAAAAGGGAAGGGAATGAATGCAGTTTTCCCAAGCCTCTAGTGTGTTGAACACTAGCTGAAGCTCCCATGAGCTGTGTCCCCATTGTCCCCAGAGTTCCCCTCGTTTCCCCGGTGTCACCCCACCTTTCCTGCACAACACTGTGAATATGATATCTGTAGCTCTTTTTAAAACTTTGGTTTTTTCCATTAAAACTGCTCAGAGCAGGAAGTGCTGTCCTACTGCAGGAGCAGACAGGATGACCCCAAAACAGGGCATGCATAGTTGAGTAGTGGGAGAGAGAATTTTAAGAGTAAACAAGGGAAGTGGCTTTGTATAGCAATTTGCTAATCAAATCTCATCTTGTAACAAACTTAACTGACAATCAATTTCTAAAATACAAAAGCCTCTTAGAGGAAATAGTCAAGTATATCTTAACCAGAAAGATTTAACTGGGATAACTTAATAAAGAGCACAGGATTTTTTCCTCCTTTTTTTTTTTTTTCTTTCTTTTAGCAATTACTCCAGAAATGGAGTCACATTAAGCAGCAGCATATTCACAGGACAGTAACTACCTCTCTCTCTTGGAGTGCTGAGGTCCACACTACACACTCTAGCAGCAAAGCTTTCACTTTAAAGAGATTTGTTTTCCTTACCTCTGTGTTTCAGAAATGCAAGTCTGCTTTGTAAAGTGACTCTAATGAAAATGGCATCTGGCAGGAGCAATGGGAGTCCCTTGGGGTCCACAGTCCTTCTTGGCCTCCAGTTCCTTACTGTGACCCTTTGCAGGTTGGCCATGGGGCTGTGACAGTTCAGGGGGACTTCGTCATCTCCCGTGTGCTGTGTAACAGTGAACTGTCCCCTGGGCCAGCGCTGTAAAACCACATTCCTGCACTGGGAAATCAGTTAATGGTGGGGAAGGTAAAGGAGAATCCATCTCCCTCCTGCCTCCAAGGCAGAAAGAAAAAAAAAAAAAAAAAAAAAAAACAAAAACAAAACAAAAAAAGCAATAAGATAAAATACAAACATTTTTATATGTTGTTCATTAGTCAGCAGATCTGACTCTGCAGATTTATATATATATACACACATACAGAGAGCAAATCTCTCATGTGAAAAGGTGCCATTTTTTTTCCTAAACAGTCCCTTTCCAAACTAGAACAGCACTTTAAATAGGTTCCTCTTTAAAAAAAAAAAAAAAAAATTAAAAAGCAAACCCTTTTCTGCCGCAATGCACTTTAACTCGTCAGACGAGTACAGCTGTGGCTGGCTGGGGACACAGCTGTACGGGCAGGCAGCTCCTGGGCAGCCACAGCTCGGGGGGAGCAATGCTGCCACTCCCTTGGGCATGGCAGCTCTACCTCCAGCAGCCCCCCACACTGCCCGGAGCAGCCCCGCCGTGCCCAGGCACTGATGGGGCTGGTGGCTGGTAGGAGACTTTGGAATCTTTCAAGAGAAGCCCACCCTTGCCTGTCAAGAAGATTTAAACCCCATTTTTTAACAGGTCAGAAGTTGCACCCAGTTACAACCCAGCTGGCGGCCCAGGGCTGAGCTAAGCTGAACAGCAAAGCCAGGAGAAAGCTGTTACTGGGGTTGTGGGCTTTTTCCATAACATGAATATGGAGCCCTCGTCAGTTCTGTTTGTTGGTTTGTTTTTTTTTTTAATCCAAGTTTGTGTGTCCCACATTGATTCTGCTCTGAGCTGGTTTGCAGAGTAACCATTTGTAACAGAAATTGTGCTGTCACCTTCAACTAGTGACTATAAATCAAACCTTTTTAGGACAGGTGTCCTAACACTCAAGACTTACTTTCACAGTTAAGAAATTTCCTGCTGTACTAATTATTCATTTTTTATTATTTTATTTTATTTCTGGTTGCAGTCCTTATTTCAAGAAAAAGAAGTCAGTGTTCAGACTAGTCTGGAGTAGGCTGAAGAGTAAGCCTGCTGTAACTTGTGGATATCAGACTGTTCTTCAGTGATTTTCCAAGCTGTTTCCAAACTGGCCCTCCATGCCTGCTTCTCTTTTCCTCTTCCAGCAGGCACTGGCAAACAGAAACTCCATGGCCGTTGTGTCCAGGGACAGCCAGCACTGCTGGAGAGGGAGGGCAGGGATGGCAGGGGAACCAGAGTTGGGAAAGGGGGAAGTAAAATCAAGGTAGAGGGGACTGTACAATTGCATTGAAAGCAGTTTAGCAAAAAGCGCTCTCGTTGGACAGCTTTAAGAACAATGTGAATGAGAACTTAGCAACTTGGGTAAGAATCTTGGAAAATTCTATCAATGTATACTTGAAATTCTGTTTGTATTAAACAAAATGCATTTTCTTCTTTCTTTTAACACTGTGTAAAAGAACATTATGCATGTGAGTGGTTTGAGAATTAAATGGTTTAATACTCAGATCCTTGTTCGTGTCTTATAGCTGACTGGTCCTTACCCAATGTGGATTTTCTGCCTGGTCCTGGCTGTGGGCAGCTCTACACTCTCCTAAGCTGAGGAGCTTGAGAGAGCTTGCACGGTGCCAGGCTACTGTTCCTGGCAACTCACATGGCTTCTGTCCTTTTTGGCTGAATTTTGTCTCACCTCCTCAGCAGGCTCAGTCCTTTTCAGTCTCCCCAGGAGGATCAAGCCATGTGCTCTTGCTGCAGGCCAAATTTTGGATGTTTTCCCAGCAGCTTATGGCAGGGGAAGCATTTTGGTTCAGTGCCATGCTAGGGAGGCCCAGGCACTGCCTCAGCCCTCCTCTTTCACCAGTGTCCACCTCCACAGCCCAGAGCACAGCTGAAATAAGCAGAGATTACAGGAGGTTGTGTGTCTCTCAGTGACTTTCACAGGCAGGAGATGGGATCCAGCAAGAAAAGCCACAGTGGTAATTGTCAGAGGAGGGCAGGGAGAGGAAGAGCTGCTTTCTGACTCTTTGTTACTTTCTAAATGCTTCCCATTTTCTCCTAGGGTCCCAGCCCCTCTTCTTTCTAAGGAACTGCTCCAGGGGAGCATGTACCTAAAGGAGCCCCTGAAGGACACCTCTCAGATGTGTATGGTTTGCCATGGTCTGTGGGACAATGGAGGAGGTGGCTCTCCATGTCCCAGTCACACACTGCTTGCACAGATGTTCAAACAATCCTGCTAGGAACAGGAAAGAGTCAAAACCCTGATAGCTTCCAACACTAGAGGCCCAGTGACCAAAGATCTGACATACCAGCTTTATCTAAGTTAACTCCCTCACTGCTTGGCCGCTCTAGCAGTTCCTGCCAAGAGAAGCCTTTACAAAGGTGGATATTTTGGTGGTCCTACAAAATCCAGAGTAAATGGCCCACTGGGGAGTGCAACCCACTATCTGCACACACCACTTTCATCACCTCCTGAGGACAGGAACTGTGCTTTCACTGTTTGGTTTGAAACATCTGCCTGAAATGGAGAAATCTTCTGCATCCTCAGGACAGCCCTGCCAAAGGTCCTATAGCAATACAGCCACCCTAAGAAGACAAGAGGTCTGATCATGTGTGGCCTGGCAGCAGGCTAGGACACCTCAACTGCTGGAGTAAACTTGCAGGTGAAATAATTTATTTTTATCAAAGCTACAAGTACCAGCTAGCTTACCTGGGCACTGTTGTGGTTCATGGGCACTGCTGCTACAGTAACTGTTAGATGAATGTTAGCATTAAGAAGAGTTTCAAAGCCTTGGCTATGCAAGGCTGTCACTAGTGGCTCCCAGCACTTGGACACACAGGACACACCAGAGCTGCTGGCAAGCAGGGTACAGCTGTTTGGCAGCTCTTCCACCCACATGGAGCTGCAGAAGGGTGTTCCTAGCCCAGCCAGCACAAGCCTTATGGCTGCTGCTGTTCCACTCACCTTTGTGGTGTGGAACCCCATTTGCTGGAAAAGAAGAATTTAAATAAGTCTAGGAAGTGGCTCAGTGTAAACTGTGCATTCAGAGAGCAGTCTGTTACATACAGATCTATAGGTTTTAATGAACCAAGTGATCAGAGTTACAGAGGGTTGGGCACAGGAAGGACAGCAATGCTGGACTTGGGTGCCACAAAAACACTGGTGCCAGATGAAATTCAGCTTTCCTTGCCACAAAGGACAGGACAGGTGAGGTGACCTATGAGCCCAATCACCTGACATGGCAGGGAGGAGCAAGGACAGCCCAGCTGGATGCAGTCCCTCCATGCACCAAAGAGCAAGACCAACCAGCCCAGGAGCAGCCCATGCTTTGTGGCAATACCCCACCCTCTCCTTTTCCCGAGGCAGAGGAGGGAGAAGTGAGGCCCTAGCAGCCCCTTTAGGAGCAAGGATCAGCTATCCTGCCCATGAAGATGATGGTGTTGAGGGCAGCTTCCCGGATAAAAAGCAGGAAGGGCCTGTTGGCATTGAAGATTTTTCTGTTGATAGGGAAGGAACGGCCAGAGATGGTAACAGCTGTAGCAGCTGAGGCCTCACTGCCTTCTTCATTCACCTGCCAGCCAAGAGACAAGATGGAATTAAAATACAGACATTATGCAGCATGGAGAGGGCTCACCCTCCTCCTCCTCCTCCACAGAACATGGAGGGAACAGAACAGAACTGGGAGGGCCAGCCTCCCTCCAAAGCTCCAGACTTGCTGATAAGTGAACACTGTAGGTTCAGAGCTATTTTTTTCCCTTTAATATTTGTTTTTTAAAAGCAAAATATGCTGGCACAAAACAAGGCTCACCTCAAGGAAGGCTTTGTGGAAAGCCTCAGACACGTACAGGTCTGTGCGGCCCTCTGCAATGATACCTGAAATATAAAAACATACAGAGGTAAAAATGAGTTCAGAGAAAGCTCAAGAAAACACATTCTCATCCTTCATGGCTTGGGATCAGGCAGAAGACATGGCTGTCCTAAAACAAAACATCCTCCTCCATGTGCAACTGACTGCTAAACTGCCATGTCTTCAGTGCAGAGTGTCCATGGTGGGACTTTACCAGAGAGTCCATCACTGGCTGCAGCAACACAGAAATGCTTTTGTGTGCTTGTTCCTCACGTGCCGCTGCACCTGCTGCCCTGTCTCGGGAGTGGCTGCCCCTCACCTCTACCCTGCACTGCCCTATCTCCACATCTCACCTGGGAGTCTGGCATTTTCTGGACTGAAGAGATCTTCCAGCCCCATTTTCCTCAGCTTTTCCTTGACACTGAAGTTGTCCTCAACGCGGAAACGAGGGAGATAGACGAAGAGAGACATCTCCTTCATGGAATCTATCCAGCCCTGCAGCTTCTCTGATGTCAGCTCTCGCTCCACCTCCTCCAGTGGTGTCCCAGCACTGGGCAGGACCAGCAGCATCGTGATATCATCCCCTTTGTAAGGCAGCTCCAGCACCTGGACTTTGTCCTGGGGGAGGAATGCGTAGCGGAATTTCGACTCCTGGTACATAGTTGGGACTTGGCAGGTCTCACCATTGGCTTTATGAAATATATCCAGTTTTGTGTTTGGAGCTGGGAACTGCGATTTCCAGTGCCCCTAAAAAGGAGAGGGGGAAAACAAACATAAGCACCATATCTCCTCCAAGGAAGTGTGCTGTTCCCCACTTCTGTTAGCTTTTGTTACCTTAAAATAAATAGTGTTGACCAGGACCAAGACAGTGAGATCATCAATACCACCTTCTGGGATCACTTCTGTAATGCGCTTCTCTGTCTTATTAGCCACCCACTCGTTAATGATCTGCCTGGAAAGTTCTGGCTTCTCCTAAAGGAAGAGAACAAAAAAAGGTTAAGCCGAGGGTTTTAAACCCCTCTTTGTACCCCTTCTGCAGGGGACAGGTTCCCAAGGGTACGTGCTGGGGAAGGACAATGAAGCTTAGGTATGATGAGTGGGGACATGGCTGTGGTTAAGGTGAGCTGAAGTGAGAGGAGCTGCATCCCAGATTCCCTGTTGCTTTCACTCGTGTCCCACACACCCAGAGCAGAGCACTGCTGGGCAAAAGACAGCAATGGACTGGGGGTATGGGGTGGAACCAAACAAATAAAGCAAACTCACTTTGAAGTTCAAGGGCCAGAGTTTTGCTCCATAAACGATTTCACTGATGTTCTGGTAAGTCTCATTAAAGACCAAAGATTTCTCCCCGAAGAGACGGTTGGCTGACACCAGCTCTGAGGATTTGTTTGCTTTCTTGTAAAGGCGGCAGTTCAGCTTGGCAAAGAAGAAATGGATCTGATCTGATGTCTTCTCTGAAATGGTGTCAAATCTGAAGACCTGAACAAGCCAAACAGCAACAAGGGATCCATGAGGAGGCTCTTGTGCTCCTGGGCCCCAGATGAAATGGTGGTGCAACCTCTGCCTCAACATCAACAAATCTGCAGGCCCTCAGAGCTTCACCCTCCATGTGTGGGAACCCAAATCTATGGAAAATCAACACATCACCTGTCCAAGACCTTTAAATGCTGTTAAAATTAACATGGTGTTCATAACCCCTTACCACACCCTAGAAATGAGCATTGCACCCACAGGGCCTAGAAGCAGCTCTGGAGTCATATCAGGTCATGGGAGGGCTCACATGTGCTAAACCCTCCTGTGAAAATGCTAAAGGCTGTTCTTTCCCAGGAGGAATTCTCATGGCCTGTTGAGTACTTCTGGTACCTCTTATCTATTTTTACATGGACTGGGAATATGTAGCAATCATTTTGAGGGTGGATTTTTGCAGCACAGGGAATTTTTTTTATCTGTTTCCAGCTGCCAGCTGGAAGGACAATTATGATTTGTCTACTGCTATCCAACCTCAGGGCTTTAAGGCACAGAAAATCCCACAGCACATTGCTCTTTATTAACCTCCTTTGGCACTGTTTCCTGTAAGGCATTCCTGGTGTTCCCAGCCATTTCATAGGGATGGGGGGGTTAGGACTGCAGGTGTGGTTGGCTCAATGGAGAAGGTTCCCCTTCAAATGGGAAGGACTGCCCAGAGGGGAACACACAAGTGAAGATTTGCAGGTGTGTTTATAGCTGCTCCACTCAAGCTGTGTGGATAATAGCAGGAGACCACCAAGATTATTTGTTCCAGAGGCAGGATTTGAAAGGACAGCAACAGAGGGCTTTGATTCACACCTCCTCATTGCAGGAGAAAGGCTCCTCTGGCCTGAGGTCTCCCATTGGAGAAAAAGGTATGGGCAGCATCAAACCCCACATAGCAGGTGAGTGGGTCTGACATCGAGAAGGGTGCTAGGACAGGCAGAGAGTTAAATTAGCTGCATGGAAGAGCCAGAACCCAGAATTACCTCTTAGTCTGGGATCAGAACTATCCCCTGAGTAGAGGGCCAACAGGTGGAGGAAGAGGCTCCCCCTGCCTTGGAAGTCAGGTGGACTGCGAGGTCTCCCATGTGTCTGATTTTTGTCCCAAGTAAGAGAGAAGGAATGTGAAAAAGCCCCTCTGACAGCAGGACTTGATATCATGGCTTTTCCTGCTTTTTAAATAAGGAAAAGCTTAGCTCAATCTGCAAGAAGCAAACTGTTATCATTCCCTTTCTTCACCTTCCAAACAGGCTTCCTTTCCTCCAGATAAAAACTAATCTCTCAAACCCAGGAATGCTGGATCCAAATAGGGAGTAAGGGGAAAGAGCTGGGGTCTAAACAAATCCAGAAACAGGGCTTGGAGCAACCTGGTCTAGTGGAAGGTGTCCCTGCCCATGGCAGAGGGTGGAACAAGATGAGTTTTAAAGTCCCTCCAACTTGGGATTTCCTTCTCAAGGCAAGGAGCTGTCCTGACCCTGAGAGCAGCCATTAGCCATGATCACCTTTCCTGTCTTTCAGACCTGCTACAGGAAAAGGCTGAGGAATCTCCACCAACCTCCATGAGCTGCTGGAGGGTGCTGCCACAGGCTCCAAGCTTGGTCATGGCGAAGGCTGTGGAAATGCTGAGGGGTGACATGAAGATGTTTTGCCCATTGTCTTTGGAGTCAGCCAGGTACTTGTAGAAGACAACAGCAAACCGAGAGTTGGCTTTTGACAGCTCCCAGACCCGGGGGTTGGTGGACTCTGGGAGCTTGTCCTTTGCTGGCTCTTGCCCCTCACCCTCCTGGGGCTTCTTCTCAGGGTTGCGATAGATGCAGATGGGGTTCACTGGGATGTGGCGGGGCTTTGCGGTGCAGATGTCTTCCACAGCATAGTGCTCAGGGGCAGCCAGCCCCCAGACACTGAGCAGACACAGCACAAGGAGATGCATTGTCCTGGAACCAGAGAGAGAGCTTAGACACACGGCCTGTCTGTGAAACCTGTGCTGCTGCCACGGCCACAGGCCCCTTCAGCCAGCATCACAGTGACAGCAGCCCCACAGTCCTCGCCAATCATCCTTTTGCCCTGGACCTGCAGGACAAATGAGGACAGACAGACACCAGGAGGACAACTTGCCTGTGAGCACACAATGCTTTTAGAAGCAATACACTGAAACCAGCGTTTTCCCAGTGACCTGGGGCCCCTCTTTTTTAAGCAGCAGGCTCAGCCCTGACAAGTTTCTACCAAAATGGATGATTTGAACTTTTGAGTCCTCTCTATTGGCCAGTGAGGTGGCTATAGTGTAAGGACGCTGCCAGGCTCACCTCAGCCTTACAGTACTTTTCAGTTACTGATGTAGGAGGTACTATGACAGAGAAGAAAGGTGATAAGGAAAAGGAAAATGTCTCCAAGGAAGCTGGTCCCTCCGTGGACTGAGCATCTACATCTCTAATCCCCCAAAAATGCACTTTATGAGCAGTATGGTGTAGCTGGTACATCACACCAATTCCTGCCCAAAGTTCATATCACCTCAATGCAAACTGGTTGTCCTTGGTACCTAAAGAGTGCAGGCTAATGGCAATTATTGTGTTCCAGCAAAAGTAGGTCTCTGAAAATCTTCCAGCAAGAGAGAGATAATTTGTATTTTTCCCTTTGCTAAAGCACACTAAACTTCAGAATGGTTTCAGTTAAAAGGAACCTTAACTATCATCTGATTGCACCCTCTGCCATAGGAAGGGACACCTTCACTATCCCAGGTTGTTTGAAGCCTTGTCCAACCTGGCCTTAGACATTTCCAGAGATGGGGCAGCCACAGCTTCTCTGGGCACCCTGTGCCAGGGCCTCACACCCTCACAGGGAACAATTTCCTCCTAAATCCCATCACCCACCAGCTCTGGCATCAAGGCCTCAAGAGCCATCTCAGGGCCTGCATGCTGTGGTTCTAAGATGCCCTTTGCATGACTGCTTTGTTTATGTAACCCATGGGAGGAAGCTCAACACCACAGCCACAACAGTTTGGGAAACAACTATTAGGAGGGACTGGCAGCCTGCCCAGGTCTTGCCTGCTACAGGGCACTTTTTCAAACATGTGTCTAAGTTAGGTAAGTCTCTGCCTGCCTGCACATACTCACTGCCATGGCTACCAAGCATTGCTCTCTGAGAAACTAAATTAAAAGTCACCTGCATTTAGCACTGGTGACCTCCAGCCTGTGATCTTCCAGTGCTGGTGGGCCAGCACCTGCTGGAGGAAAACGGGAGCAGCTCAAAGGCTGATCAGGAATGAAGGAGACCTCGGGGCTCTTCCACACCCCCTCCCTGAGCTCTTGGCCAATGACTTCATCTGTGCTCCAGTTCCTCTGCAAAAGCAGAAACTACCTCATCTGGCACCAAGGCTGTCTGGAGCCCAAGGCTGTGTGATAGCACAGCAAAACATGAGGGACTCACTCATGCCATGGCCACAGCTCTCGCTGGTAATGACATAGATCATCTCGCAAAAGGTTTAGGACAGATACAATACCACAAAGGGTAAAAAAAAAAAATCTAAAAAGGAGAGAAGTTAACCAATTAAAAAACAAAAAACAACACTCAGGCCAAGAGAAAGGAAAAATATGAAGACAATTGAAAATTGCACTCCAGGAAGTGCTGTTCTTCCAAACCTTTCAATCCCACAGGAAAAGTCAGCCAGCAACAAGCCAGACACACTCCAGTGTTCTACAATCCTGGGGCCAGGAGCAGAGCCCTTCACTGCCTGCAGCAGCCCTCCCTCACCCTCACCCTCACCTGGTCCTGCAGCTCCAGCAGCACCGACACACTTGTGGCCAGACCCACCATGGGAAGGACAACCCCATCATGGTCCCTGCCCTGTCACTGCACTCACCTCCAGGGAAAGCCATGTCCTGACCCTGTCTGTACAAGAACAAACACCTGCTTCTGTCAAGCCAGAAGCAGCTTGTGGTGTTTGCCATCACACCAAGTGTTGTTAATCTAATTTCATATTTAGGGACCAAAGCACAAGAGTGGGGAGGGCACCTTCATCCTCACCCTGTTCTCATTAAATGAGAAAGACTCCCTGTTTTTATCTGCAGCAAAGCCCCGACTCCATCAGTTCAGGGAAGATACAGGACTTTATGCTAACCCCTTAAATCTACTTTACCATCCATTAAGGTTGACATGGCCTCTGACACATCCAATCTTGTCTCTTATAGGCAAGAGCCTTTGCTGTTTCTTAGAACAGCTCTTTGTCACAGCTTTTGGGCAAAACCCACTCCTCCTCCTCCTCCTCCTCCCACAGCTCTTCAGTACTCCCTTTTCCTTTGCAGCACCAACATGCACTCCATGTGTCAACCTGGAAGGAGGCCAAAAGTATTCCCACAACAGCACTGCCTGAGAAGGATTACTGGCAAGAGGGAACATAGAAATTAGAAAAGGTTCTTACAAGGGTGAAGCAACACAAAGTGCAGAAAACCAAGAAACAAGTTGCTGATTAAGCTCAAATCAGAAGGCTCTGGGGAAGCATCGAGAAACTTCCCGATCCCTTGGCTGCTGTACAACATGGTTGGGCTCTCACCAGCACACACCATTTCCATCCCCCTCTTCCATGGCTGCAGGACAGGATGATTAATTGGGCTTACAGACTCCCAGCACCCACCCTCCTGAACCTACTGGGGCTACTGGTAGTGGTGGAAATGTCCCACAGCACCCAAGCACTGTGCTACACAGCCCAGTCAATATAAAATAGCTCAAACCATTTTGAAATTAATTTAGGCTCTTGAGAAGCCTTCCCCACTGCCTCACAGCCAAAACCAGAGTCCAAAGGAAACCAGCAGTGTACTTTTGCAGCCAGCAGTTACTCAGGACTTCCTGACTTCATTAACTGCCCTCCACACCATGACTGCTGCAGGCTGGGGGTAAGACAAGTCTGATGATTTAGAACACCAGCCATCATGACACCTAGGGGTGAGAGGACTCGCTCTAATAGAGCAAAAAGCCACTCTGGCAGCAGCTAAAATTCATAGGCTCCTACTAAGGGAAAAGAAGCTGTTTCAAGGAATTAATTAACAATGAAAGATGTGTGGAATCTATTTTTCTTACCTGCCCCTGTACCTCCAGCCTTCTGCTTTTAGGAGGTAAATTCAATTTTTTGAGAGAACAGTCTTGCTTGAGCCCAAAGCAGTTTCCCCACTGGATTTCTGTGCTCAAACAGAGCTGAGACAGCAGCAGGGGATGGTGGGAGGGGAGTAGGATGCTAAGGCCAAAGGCTGATGACCAGCTGCTGAAGGTTAAGCAAAGAGTAGGAAAAAAGAGGCAATGTTTAGTTTGAAAGAGGTTTTAAAGTTCAATCTGACAAGGGAGAGTTTGACCACCTACCCCATACAAGCGTCACATGCCCTCAGTTTTTGCCAACAGAAAATGAACTGCTTATCCCATGAGAAAAACCTTAAACCCTTCAAGAGTTTGAATAAAAATTATATAAAGCTATTTGTAGATCTAGTTTAGGGATCTTGGAGCCAAACAAAATGTTTCCCCCATCTGTCCCAAGCCCTGTCACCTGTTCCCTGTTTCCTGAACAGACAAGTTGGGAGAAATTTCCCCAGTTCACATTCTGCAGTTTCAAATATATCCCATCTTAAACACACTCACCTGGAAAGGGCCCCCCAGGGAATGGTCACAGCCCCAAGGCTGCCAGAGCTCCAGGAAAGTTGGGACACTTTCAGGCACAGGGTGGGATTGTTGAAATGTCTGTGCAGGGCCAGGAGTTGGACTCTGTGATCCTGGTGGGTCCCTTCCAGTCCAGGATATTCTGTGATTCTGTGACCTTTCACTTGCAGAGCTGGAAAGCTGAGGATTAACAGCAGCTCCCCCAACTCCTGCCCAGATTCACAAGGCAGAGCAGTGAGCAGAACTGAACACCGTTTCTGTTCCAGGATGCAGCTGCTCTACAAATTCTGCAGCCTTGCCTCTGAAATTTCAAATCGCAGGAGCAGACTCTCCAGTGAGAGGAACATTTTCCCTTAATGGAAAATGCAACTGCAAACTGGTCTGGGTTAAAAGACCTTGCTGTATCAGTATGGGACATAGTTAAATGGGACAGAGATTGTGGAGATACATTGAAGGGTAATGTAGAAAACATCCTCCATGAGAAAGGAAGGACTCACATACTGTACCTTGTTACTTCAGGTTTAATTTTTTGAGGTAAATGACATGCTCACAGATCCCAGGGTTTTCAGCAATTAGGGATGCTCTGCACCCAGGCAGACATCCAAGCACAGGTTTCCATTTTCCCAGTGCTCAGAGGTAGTTTAAAGCAGTAAAATGAAAAGTGAACAACTATGCACATCCCACAGAGCTCCCAAGGCATTTTTTCCAAGGGTAACTGAGTTATTGTAACATTTGAATGCAGCATGTAAATGGTAATTTATGGCTGGTTTAGCTCCAAGCAACAACCCAGCATTCACATCTGAGCAGAGCTATCCAGGAAGCACCCAAGATGGCCAGTGTCTTAATCCAAACTGCTAGATGCCTTCTTTGCTCTAATGTAGGGGCTGTTTTTCTCCCAAACTCAAAGCAAAGATCAGAGACTCAAAGCCATCAAGCACCAAAGCCTGGCAGCCTGTGGCAAGACAGATGAAGTATCATGCTTTGGTTTTAGTCTCTCCCACATTTTTAGTCCCCAGGGAGCTGGAGTTCACAGTTAGGAAGGAGGTTACAGAAACAACTGAACACATCCTAGCTGGAAAGAAACAGTGCTTAAACATACCTGATGGGTGAGGAGGAATATAAATAGCCTTAATTTCGTTTTGTGCTTTGGGTCTTCACTGTTGAGTTTCATGGCTACACACAGGGAAAATGACTCTTGCACTCACAGAGCAAGATGGAATCAAGGCTCATGAGCTAGCCTTTTCAAGACTTTTTTCTATCCTGCTATCCATATCCAAAGGGGAAAAAAATTCCAGCAGGTACCATCCACTTGAGCCTGGTCTCCCCTCTTTTCCACATGAAGAAACTCAGCAAGTTTCCCCCAATCTCCCTTGATGCAGAGCACCCACCACTTCTTTCCAGAGGGATCTGACTTTCCAGTGCTCCAGATTTTCCTTTTAAAAGCCAGCCACTGTTGGAATTCAGCTCTTTTTTTTCCCTCTGAAGTGAGTCACTACATGAGGATTCTGAATCCTCAGACTAATGGCAGAAAGGGTAAGGAAACCATCACCAACTGAAACTTAGTTTTCTGCTGGCTTTCCCACTAAACGGAATTTCTTTATAGGAATTGAATGCTTTGACCCACCCAGCAAGTAAGTGTAGAGGTGTGAGGGGGCCTAATAATGAGCAGTGATGGGCTTCAACCCAGCAAAACACACCTTACCTTGATCCATGGTGCCCAGGCTCAAGCATATTAAGACAATAGTAATGAACATTATGCATGAACTCGAGGGGCAGAAGGCTGTGCTTGCCCTGGAGTAGAAGGAGCAGTTTTTCAGTGAAGCAGCAGCTTCATCCAGTTTCAGATTTACAGCTAATGACTTGTTAAAGACCACAAAAAGCTGTAAAAGGAGAAGACTAAAAACCACAAAGCAGACTGTGGAGCAAAACTTACTTTCACTTTAAGGCAAGTTCCAAACCAGGCTCAACGTTAAGACAAATGCTGCTCACTCTTTGCTCTGAAGGGTTTGGTTTGCTTTTAAAATATGTACACTCTGAGCAATTAAAAAAACTTGATTATTTTGAGCATCTTTTCTTGTTCACCTCTGGTGAACAGGTGAAGGACCCACTTTGTTTACAGGTGAAGTCAGAAGAGAGCAGACCAAACCCTGGAGATGTGGCTTCTCTGCTATTTGGCATCTCTTATGCTGCAGCCCAGCAAAGAGCACACACACCCTGAGCTGATGAAAATCTTACTCAGATGGTCCAACAGTCTTACACCTCACACAAAATTTAAAAGAATGTACAATCATCCCAGACAGAAAACAAGAGATACTTCAAAGTGTTCTTCATTAATTTATCACTTAATATAAATGCTGACAGAAAAGCAGGTAAGACCTTGTAGACACTTCCATCTATTTACAAACCAAATAGTGAATCACTTTTCCACTTTTTTGTTGTTAAATCTGCAACTCAAAGGACCCTTAGACATTCTGTGAGTGCAAGGTGGAGTCAGGGAGAAAGAGGGAGAAAAGCAAGGTAAAGAGGGAAGAAGAAATAGCATTTCAACATATGTTTTTTTCTATGTAACTGCCATGCATTTACAGTAGGTCTCCCTTGTTCTTTCACACAAAAGTGACACCGTAGCCTCTATAGGTCTGAGAATTAAATAAAGACCAATACTGATTTTTCAAATCTCTGGATCCTCTTGCCTTTTGCCTCCTTCAATGCATTCCCACTTCAGCAGAGTACCTAGAAGGTTTTTCTTACAAGTCTAAAAAGTACATGGTAGGAGTAAAGACACAGAGAGTTGGATATAGAGAACTTTCTTCTACTTCTTTTGTTATCTCAGTTTTCCCAAGAGGTAGCAAAGCATCTAACCTTTCCTGGAAAAGACAGAGCAATTCCCCATGTACCTCTGAACATCTCCCTCATGATCAAGCCTGTATGTACAAAACTTCATAATTCCTCTGAACTTGCAAATAATTCAATTTATGTAATTTTTATCATACATTCTACTTTGTGTATACTCCTGTTGTAAATATTTTGATAGTCACAAACAATACATATCCACATTATCAACCCAGAGGCAGCCACTCCCATGAAGGAATTTTTGTTTATGGGAAAGAGAAACAGGAAAGGAAGAAAACAGCAGAAGAAAAGCAAGGAAAAACACAAGGAGAGAAAGAATGATATTTTGTTTAGCACTGAATCATGAGAACAGCAGATGTAACTTCACTTATGTAGGATCCTAAATAAATTTAAGAAATAGTTCATAACCTGATTCAACAAATGTCATGGTCTCCTTTATTACCTAGACTATCCTTTATTTTATTTTTTGTTAAATATACCTCTGCAGGGCACAATCACATACAATCAATACGATTGGATAATTACATGAGCTCTATCCCAAGCATATATGCACCGATGTTAAAAAGTTATTTAAAAAACAAAACAAAACAAACAACCCAAAAAATAAAATAAACTCCACCCAAAAAGGTGATAATGACTGCAGAATGTCTCGGGGAGACTTGTAAGGAACTAACAAGATCAAAGAAAATTAGACTTACAAAAACCACAAAAAAAAATCATATATCGAGAAATCCCACAACTGGAAGTAAATGATTTCAAAGAAGTGGGAGCTGTAATATAGACCCCACAATTCTTCCTCCTTCTTCACACACAGGTCTAGCTTCACCTCTTCCTCCCCATAGCAACAAATACAAGGAGGGGAAGAGCTTAACACAATGCTACCAGTTAAAGAAAACAGGGAAAAATAGCCAAGCTACAGAACAGCTGCTAAGCTGAATTCAAGGAAAGATCCTTTTAGCATGAAAGCTGCTTACACAGCAAGCAGAGGCTAAAGGGGGAATGGGAACTCCTTAAAATTAGGGGAAACTCTAGAAGTGATTAGTTTTGCCCATGTTGATCAGCTTCACTGATAAGAGGCTGCAGATGAATGGTACCAATTGAGTGCAGCAGCTGTGATGTGAATGGGATTGCTTCTTCCTCTCAGGTTGCTTCATGCATTTATTAAAAGCTGCTGCCAAATTTCTTTTTAAAAAGCTACAAATAAAGAGGTCAGTGTACACATCCAGTTGTGGGATCCATCTGATATACAATCTGGTTTGGATGCCAAAGACTTGTGAGTACTGCCTGCCACACAACTATTAATGAAATCTTTTTAACATTATGAAGAAGCAAATAATTTCTTGAGCATCAAATACTCCACAATATTTTTTTTTTTTTTGCTCTTACAGATACATTTACCCCACACATTTCACATGTAATTTCAGCATGTCTAATGCTTTTTATTTCCTGTTGCTTCTGTCTCTCCCAATACTGTATTTTTCAAATTGGACAATTGTGTTTTCCTAAAACTTGCAGATCTTCAAAAGAGTAGTTTTCTGGCATATGAAAACATCCAACCCATATATCCAAGGAAAGCTGCCTTGCTGGATGAAGTTAGGCACCTAAACCCTCCCAGCTGCTGAACACCTTGCAATTAGCATTAAAAATCATACACAAACTCTCTGGAATTGCAAAGATTGCCTGGGAAAGATCAGTTAATTACTCATGTTACTAAGCTACAGGAATCCAATTTTGATTATCATGGCCACATATTTTAAGCATCAAATGACTGTGATGTTCCCAATGCAGAC